ATAAATACATGAACATAATATATATAAATGTATGTGTGTATACACACACACGCACGCACACATAGAGGTGTGTGTGTGCATGATTATAAGCTTAATGCGAGCTTGCACTGGCGATCCCTTTCAAAGGACGAATTAGAGTATAAAGAGAAACAAAAGAAATGAGAATTAAATCCGGATGTATTTTTAGTAAGGGATCCGAATCCGATGCATTTTATTGCTGTTTCCATTCTGAAAGAGGAAGGGAACGAGGAAGGAGGAAGGAGGAAGGAGGAGGAGGAGAAGAAATGTGTGCGAAGTGAAGACAAGAGGAAATGGGAGAGATAGAAGAAGGGGGAATAATAAAGGAACAATATGGGAAGATAAAAGAGGAAAACGAATATTGAAGAGAGAGAATGGATTAGAAAAAGACGGAAAATTTATAAGTAGAAAAGATGAGCGGATAAAAGAGAAAATAAGAGAGAGAAAGAGAGAGAGAGTGAGTGAGTGAGAGAGAGAGAGAAAGAGAGAGAGAGAGAGAGAGAGAGAAAGAGATAGAGAGAGAGAGAGAGAGAGAGAGAGAGAGAGAGAGAGAAAGTGAAAGTGAGAGAGAGAGAGAGAGAGAGAGAGAGATCAGACAGAAAGATAGAGACAGAGAGAACGAAAGAGAGAAAGAAAGGGAGGGAGGAAGAGAAAAACAAAAAACAGAGACAAAGAAAAAGGGTCAAAATAAAACACAACAGAAAAATAAACACGTAAAGAAAACTAAGAAACAGGAGGGAAGGAAATACGAGCAACTCCAGAGAGGGGAAAGTGGAGGGGAGAACTGAGAGATATGTGCCGATTCTCCCATATAAAGTAGATAGATTTACACGAGCGTGACATTGCGAGGGGAGAAAGGAGGGGAGGGGAAGGGGGGAGGGGGAAGGGAGGGGCTTAGCAAAGGGGAATGGAGTATTTGAGAAGAACGGAGGGCGAAAAATTATATACATTTAGTGAGAAATATCGCCAATATGGAATTCATTCGGCTTGTACTTCAAATAGACGGAAGAGCGGGGGAGATAAGGAAGGAAAGACGGAAAGGGAGGAGAGGAAAAGAGAAAAATAAATGAATTATATATATATATATATATATATATATATATATATATATATATATATATATATATATATATATATATATTTATATTATATGCATCACATATATATTGTATGTGTAATATATATATATATGTATATATATATATATATATATATATATATATATATATATATATATATATATATATATATATATATATATATATATATAAATGGGATATATGGATATACACACTTAAACACATTTATTGAGGCCAAAGGCGGTTTCAACCATTTTTGGTAGAATATTTATTCCAGAATGGAAGCAACTGATCATTTCCTAATCTTATTTAGGTGCATTATTAAAGCCACGATATTAGTAACAAGAATAGCCACCCTTAGCTCTATTCACTTCAGCAACACGTCTTGGCACGCCTCGAATGTACTGGCGGCCTTTCCCCTGATTTCTGGGTTTTTAGGTGGTACCCTTATCAGTCGTTCAGTTAACTTCACTTCGTTAGTACATTCCACTCGGCTTATCTCGCCTTTCATGGCTTTCCATAAACATTCCATAGAATTTAAATCTGTACTGTTTGCAGGCCAGATACCCACATAGTACTTTTGGCTGTGTGGCAGCGAGCTCCATCCTCCATGAATATGCCAGCATTATCTGGAAACCACTCGCAAACTTAGGGCAGAAGACTCCTGTCGATGATGTCACGATATCCAACTTGATTTAGGTTACATTTTACAGTCTCTGATCTTCCAGTAGCCATGGCAGAGATCACAGGCCACATCATCACCTTGGTGAGGAATTTTACTTGTGCTCTCTGGCAAGACAAGGTGGTCCTCCTCTAAGCTGGTCTATTAGCAATATTTCGATTATCTATCAGTATTTCTACCGTCGACTCATCAGAGAAACAAAATTGCAAATAGAAATAACAATAAAAGTAACGAGATGACTGGAACATTCAACTTAATTATTGAACTCCATCTCCAACATAACATTCTTTCTGATCTCGCCACTGAACCAAACAAATTAGATGTAATATTTTGTAAATAAATATTTTTTCCCATGTATTCATGTGTATTATACTGAGATGAGTTTGAATCACATAGAAACGTAGTCAAAAGAAAGATTTCAGTGAGATTTACCTTTTCCAAATCCTCTGATGTCCATTCCACGTGAGCCTTTGCCCAGACCAGTCGTTTCTTCCTCAACGGTAAGGTAAGTCTTGGCTCGGTATCCCATCACATTTTTTTCTGGCTGTAGAGGGCTTACACTCGACACCATAGTTCTTCGATTCATGAAATTCATTAGATTAATTTGAGTGATCTAGTTTAATCATATTGACAAGTAGTCTGTCTTGTCTTGGAGAGGAGAAAGACTTTCTTCCAAACTTTCTCTTCAATTGGGTTCATAGTTTTCTAAATCATCAGGTTTTCCTTAAATTTTTGCAACTGAAGTTTGGGAAACACGTAGATATTTCCCAATGACTTAGAGACATTTCATAGAGATAAAC